AAATGCGTTACTATTCAGTGGGAAATCAATTAAAATCTGGGTTGCGAAGAGATTCAGACCAGCAGCCTATAGGTCACCTTCCCGTTGCTCTACCTACGTGGCTCAGTTAGTTATCAGACCACTGGCTTCAATCTTGCCAAGACCTAGGCTTTCATTTCCGCTTTGACCATCGCCCAGTTTCAGTAACATGAGTCTACCAAGCCAGTGTCTATCAGAAAGTCAAACCCATTATCATTATGATGGTCCACTTATCTAATTCATCTCGATTTAGATTAACACGAGAACATGATGAACAAACAGTTGTGCATCATGAATTCATATAGCAGTCAGGAAAGATTATTAACGAATGGAGTGGAATTAGGACCTGAACAGCAGTTGGATCTCATCCTTCAGTTGGTAGAGTAACAGGTTGGTAACCAGGAGGCCGCTGGTCTGAATCCTACTGCCACCCAGATTTTCATTTTACCTCCAATCATCGCCTAATATAAATAAAAAAAGCTAACCAAATCACGTCTTTCTCAAATACTTACAGATAAACTGAAATCATTGAAAAGGTGATAAAATAATACCGATTCAATCTTTGCTTTGGTAAGATAAGCGAAGAATGTCTTCTGTAAAAAGGGACATGATTAGTTGGAGTTGGGCAATCACACTTATAATAATTGGCAACAAATAACAGTCAGTTATTGATTAGTAGAGTGGGTTTCATCCATGATGTAGTGTTAATAAACAGAATAGAAAATTTATTCTACGGATAGAAAGAGAGTAATAGTAGTAATCATATTTAAGACGATGGAATTATTCACATTGTAGGAAATTTGACAAGGTTGATACACAAGCATACAAACAAAATGGACTTATGATGTTTTCCTCACACTCACTCACACACCTATTTGTTATCACGTCAACCTCAATCAAGGTACCATTTAATCCCGTCTATTTGATTTTATGTGTATGAATAAATAATTCAAGGTGAGCAAAGAAACTTCTTCCATTCATGAGTTAAATATGCGGAAACTCATACAGGCCTCATCTTTTTTTCTTCAGAAATGACTTCTACATGGTCTTGACGTGCCAGAGATTTAAGTCATTGTTCATGGAAAAAGAGACAAAATGATAAGTTATGAACTTCGAAGCTATTTATGATACAGAGAAAACACTTGAACAGTGGGTGAAGACCATAGCAAAAATGAACATTGAGTACAATTCCCCTGCACATACACAGTTTAGGCCTCAGCTGATCGTAGGACGCCAAGTCTCTCAACCATAAAATAGAAGCACTGAATTGACTGACATTAGTGTTAAAAATCCGGATCTTGTACTTTTTGCTGAGTGCAGTGCAAAGCAGTAGATCTCCACACTGATTTCAGATTAATGAAGGCCTGTCTTGATGTCTTTTCAATCCTGGCTTTGACATCCTCATCTGTACCTAGGTAGGTGATGATCTTTCAATGGTACTTTTTAATGAAGTGAACTAAGCTTTTTTATTCTTTTTTGGTAAAGGTGAATGTTTCCTGTTATGAGCCTCTATGCAATGTACTTTTCTAAATGTAGGCTATAAAATTTAGGATTGCTTAAATGACTATACAGACCTTGTCAAAACAAATCGCCTTTCCATTATTTACAGATGAGTTATACTGATGTTTTATTTTGTTACAGCTGATACGTATTTGAATTCAGGATTACTAGATGAGCAAGATGCTCGATGCTGCGAATCACTTTTACTTTTCAAAAATATCTGAAATCAAAACAAATACTGATGAAAAACAACTATTTCATCACATACAAGCTGAAAGATTACCAGTTCAACTGCTCCTGTGGAGCTAGTTAAATAAGCCGTACTCAAAAAGCTTTATCCACGCGAGCTCGTGAACATTTACTATCTTGGTTATGGAAAGGAATAACAGAGAGTACTAACAGTGTAATTCTCTCACATTTAGTAGAAACCGGACATCACATTAAGGATCACATCTTTTCTGTGATATATTGCGTCCCATAAAATCTCCCTAAAGGTGCACGACTTTCCATATCATCCATACCTGAAGGCATGGGGATCAACCCAAGAAAACCGGATTTTTGTGTTCGAAAGAAATATGTAAATCTACTTTGTTTACTTTAGCCCACAACAGTGTTGACACATTGTATTTATCAACCTTCCTACCACATGTTGTATATTTTAATCTCCACCAATTTTCATATTGTCATTACACTGAAAAACATTCATTTTCTTATATTATTAGTTTTACGCCCTTTCTTATTCAGAACACAACCTGTAGTAAATTTCAGAAGTGACGTAACACGTCACATTTTTTATTTAATAGCCGTAGTTTGCAGACTAGTATTGATACTGGGTGATGATTGACGGTGAAATGGAAATTTGGACTGAGGCAAAATTCCAACCAGCAGCCACAGGGTTTACGGCCCGATACTCTACCAACTCAGCTACCACGTCCAACTGCTGACCACATCTTTTTCTTTCATTTCACTAATAAGATTCAACAACTTGGTCAAGATGAAATCAATGTCTTCCAGAAAGACTAAGACAATTCACTGAAATAACACCGGAAACTAATCAAAGTGAAGCCAATTATAATAACAGTTGCACTCATAAACGAAGGATATAAAGGTTACATTAACAAAGGGGAGGGGAAACTAGTGAGAGTGTGGATATTTCATGGCCATCGTAAAACACAGTGTCTGTACATACTTCTCTTGTACACACAGATCAGGTTTTAGTTCATGAATAGCTGAAGCCTCTGCTACTTTAAGGAGTTGAAAACGAAGAAAACGTGAGAGGTTTGGGCGAATTTGATAAATGATTTTAAAGTCATTGTCACTGGGTTTGTTGAGTGATGGAAATCAATCAAATGTTCTAGAATCGAACTCCTAACAGACTTTCTTTCACCTTTATAAAACCGAGCTGCAACATGTTCTCGTATACGTGTAGAAAGCATTCTCTGACTACGGCGATGTATTTCGCTCCACAAGAGCAGGTGAACTGGTAGATGCACATAGAGGCGGCCAAACGAGGAAGCTTATCTTTAACACAAAAGGAGAACAGTTTACGGCTGATAAAATTCAATTGAAATCTTGCTATGAAGAAAGTTCTATTGATTGGTCTGCGAAGGCGATTCTTGAGTTCATGTGATGCTTGGTCACCTTTAAATTCTAAGCTCATGAACATTGTTTTCTTTGAGACCGAATGGATGACCGGTTTAGTATTTCTTCCTCGCATAATTTTATCAATAAATCAGCATGGGTAACCGTTTTCAACAAGTGTAACTTTTTAAAACGATAACTCTTCATTAATACAATACATTAATACATCCAGAAAATGGAATTCTGAGTTCTCACTGAATTCTGATGTAAAGTTGATCGATAGGTGACAATCATTCAACTTTTTAACTGGAAAAGCTCTGGAAAAAAGCTCAACTAAATCAAATCATGAAACTAACCATAACCTCACAATGGGATGGGGTAGAATGACAGTCCTTAAAACTAAAGTTGTTTAATAATAGACTGCTATATATTTATGATATATGCATAAATACGATTGTATAGCTTTAGAAAATGATATCATCGAAAAGTTATTCAAAATAATATTGTTCGCTCAAATTATTCTTTTTCAGATTGCAGAAACTAAATAGCTGAAAATGGGAATCGAAAGAATGGTTGAGATGTTATTGGTTTATTATTTTCTCCCTATTTCCACTTCGTAAACATTTAAAACTGTGATTCTTTACCTCACTGAAGATTTTCTTCAATGGCATTTAGATAGACTACTTAATTCCGATAACAACAGATTTGGTTATTATACATAGTTGCTAAAAGAATTCATGGTATTTTTGGGTATGACGAAGAAATAGAATAATTCCGCATACCACATATTCACTAAGTGGCTGACTGTAATTTCTCGACCAGTGAGATGTCGGATTACTAGGTATGTTTCACTTGATTCATTAGATTCTATTGGCACAGTAACGAATCTCAGTGTTCCTGGAAAATAAATCTTCACTCCACATAAATGTTCCACTTACGGTAAGTACAGGGTCCTCCGCGCCCACCTCCCTTCTAGTTAACTGCTTCATGGCCAGTTATGAAAGCACCATTCTACATCTAGTTATCGATGAGTTCCATTTGTATAAAAGATACATGGATAATACTTTCATCATTTGAAATGAGAAAACTTATGTTGATGATAATTTTCTGAAATTCAGTTATTCACATCTCTCGATCACTTTCACGATGGAAGTTAAAGACAATTGAGAATTCCATTTTCTTGATATTTTGTTGGAGAGAAGACTTGATGAACCCATTGAAGCGTCCATCTTCAGGTAACCAACTTGAAATGGATAATATACTCATTTTTAGAGATGATTACCACTCACCGATAAAGAAACCTAATTCATTCGCTTTCCATGGGAATAAGAATTTGCACAGATGATACTGTAGACAAAAAAGAAGCAAAACCTTTGCAAAGCGCTTCCTATGAATTGATGTCCTCCAAGACACATTACAAAAAACATGAAGCTAGAACAACGACAAAAAACGAGTTCTTACGGTTTCTAAGAAGATCCTTTTCAAAAACACTAAATTTACAATGGATAACGCAGTAAAATTACTGAATCACTCTTCTAAAGAAATACTCAACCATTTACTTCCTTCTACATATATCCATTCTTATCAGCAACGCCCACTACAGCAGCACTCAGAAATAGGTAACAAGAAGTTGTTTACCCTCCAGTGACCAATCCAGTCCTACAGGAGGTCAACCGTAAACCGAACACATCAGTGGTAATGTCTGTAACTGCAGCATTCAATCTCCTTGTAAGAGATGATTCAACAAGATGAGAAAAACTTTAAAAATCAGTATAAAAGAATATTCACTTTAATGACATACAGATATATACAAACAACAAAGACGATAATTTAGTAGCAAAATTACTGCTAAAATAAATAAACAAAGAAATAAGATGAGTAGTAGTATTAGCTACCCTTATAACAAAACGATATATGAAAAACTCAATCGCAGTCACTGCCTTTATATACATACAATCGATCAGATCAGTTACATTTCACTTCTTTATTCTTTGACTTGACTGATGGATTCCATTTCAAACGACTAATATCAAGTATATAAGAGCTTTTCTGTACTTTACGACGTTTACCTTTGCCATTATTACGCTGACCTTCATTTTTATTATTATTACTACTATCACCAACATAACTGTCTGTATGGCAAGAATTAGCAGAATGTTCATTTAACTGTTCAAGATATTGTCGTACAGTTTCACGATGTATATGTATATGATGACCATGTTGCCAATTCCAAATAATTGGATGATTTTGCAGTGTCCAGATTATATCATCGATACTAATACACGTTTTTGTACTATAAAATGAAAGGTGAAATAATCAATCAAAAAGCATTAGTTACTTTAAACATAGTAATTCTATAGTATCATTTATATTGAACATTATGTGTTCTAATATTCGACCTATACGAAGACGCAACATGCCAAGTAATTCACAATGGGAAGCTCAGCTGCGATGCCTTAGAAGTGAAGAGCATAGCAAAATAAGGCTGTCTAATATCATCAATGATATTCCTGATTGTAGTGGATTGAACTGGATCATGCAACAAACAGTGAGCAGCGAGGAGAGGCGAATACGCTGCACCACGGAAAACAACCTAGAAGATGTGGATTTCCCGATGAACAATCACTAATGTCACATAAACATCAAGCTCTAACTAACTGACAAGTTCACAGAACAGGCAGGTGGGAGCACTTGGAATAGTATAGCATAAAAGTATAATAGTACACTAGTATAATAGCACAAAAGCATAATAATGTACTTGTAGTAGTAGTAGTAGTAGTAGTAGTAGTAGTAGTAGTAGTAGTAGTAGTAGTAGTAGTAGTAGTAGTAGTAGTAGTAGTAGTAGTAGTAGTAGTAGTAGTAGTAGTAGTAGTAGTAGTAGTAGTAGTAGTAGTAGTAGTAGTAGTAGTAGTAGTAGTAGTAGTAGTAGTAGTAGTAGTAGTAGTAGTAGTAGTAGTAGTAGTAGTAGTAGTAGTAGTAGTAGTAGTAGTAGTAGTAGTAGTAGTAGTAGTAGTAGTAGTAGTAGTAGTAGTAGTAGTAGTAGTAGTAGTAGTAGTAGTAGTAGTAGTAGTAGTAGTAGTAGTAGTAGTAGTAGTAGTAGTAGTAGTAGTAGTAGTAGTAGTAGTAGTAGTAGTAGTAGTAGTAGTAGTAGTAGTAGTAGTAGTAGTAGTAGTAGTAGTAGTAGTAGTAGTAGTAGTAGTAGTAGTAGTAGTAGTAGTAGTAGTAGTAGTAGTAGTAGTAGTAGTAGTAGTAGTAGTAGTAGTATAGTAGTAGTAGTAGTAGTAGTAGTAGTAGTAGTAGTAGTAGTAGTAGTAGTAGTAGTAGTAGTAGTAGTAGTAGTAGTAGTAGTAGTAGTAGTAGTAGTAGTAGTAGTAGTAGTAGTAGTAGTAGTAGTAGTAGTAGTAGTAGTAGTAGTAGTAGTAGTAGTAGTAGTAGTAGTAGTAGTAGTAGTAGTAGTAGTAGTAGTAGTAGTAGTAGTAGTAGTAGTAGTAGTAGTAGTAGTAGTAGTAGTAGTAGTAGTAGTAGTAGTAGTAGTAGTAGTAGTAGTAGTAGTAGTAGTAGTAGTAGTAGTAGTAGTAGTAGTAGTAGTAGTAGTAGTAGTAGTAGTAGTAGTAGTAGTAGTAGTAGTAGTAGTAGTAGTAGTAGTAGTAGTAGTAGTAGTAGTAGTAGTAGTAGTAGTAGTAGTAGTAGTAGTAGTAGTAGTAGTAGTAGTAGTAGTAGTAGTAGTAGTAGTAGTAGTAGTAGTAGTAGTAGTGTAGTAGTAGTAGTAGTAGTAGTAGTAGTAGTAGTAGTAGTAGTAGTAGTAGTAGTAGTAGTAGTAGTAGTAGTAGTAGTAGTAGTAGTAGTAGTAGTAGTAGTAGTAGTAGTAGTAGTAGTAGTAGTAGTAGTAGTAGTAGTAGTAGTAGTAGTAGTAGTAGTAGTAGTAGTAGTAGTAGTAGTAGTAGTAGTAGTAGTAGTAGTAGTAGTAGTAGTAGTAGTAGTAGTAGTAGTAGTAGTAGTAGTAGTAGTAGTAGTAGTAGTAGTAGTAGTAGTAGTAGTAGTAGTAGTAGTAGTAGTAGTAGTAGTAGTAGTAGTAGTAGTAGTAGTAGTAGTAGTAGTAGTAGTAGTAGTAGTAGTAGTAGTAGTAGTAGTAGTAGTAGTAGTAGTAGTAGTAGTAGTAGTAGTAGTAGTAGTAGTAGTAGTAGTAGTAGTAGTAGTAGTAGTAGTAGTAGTAGTAGTAGTAGTAGTAGTAGTAGTAGTAGTAGTAGTAGAGTAGTAGTAGTAGTAGTAGTAGTAGTAGTAGTAGTAGTAGTAGTAGTAGTAGTAGTAGTAGTAGTAGTAGTAGTAGTAGTAGTAGTAGTAGTAGTAGTAGTAGTAGTAGTAGTAGTAGTAGTAGTAGTAGTAGTAGTAGTAGTAGTAGTAGTAGTAGTAGTAGTAGTAGTAGTAGTAGTAGTAGTAGTAGTAGTAGTAGTAGTAGTAGTAGTAGTAGTAGTAGTAGTAGTAGTAGTAGTAGTAGTAGTAGTAGTAGTAGTAGTAGTAGTAGTAGTAGTAGTAGTAGTAGTAGTAGTAGTAGTAGTAGTAGTAGTAGTAGTAGTAGTAGTAGTAGTAGTAGTAGTAGTAGTAGTAGTAGTAGTAGTAGTAGTAGTAGTAGTAGTAGTAGTAGTAGTAGTAGTAGTAGTAGTAGTAGTAGTAGTAGTAGTAGTAGTAGTAGTAGTAGTAGTAGTAGTAGTAGTAGTAGTAGTAGTAGTAGTAGTAGTAGTAGTAGTAGTAGTAGTAGTAGTAGTAGTAGTAGTAGTAGTAGTAGTAGTAGTAGTAGTAGTAGTAGTAGTAGTAGTAGTAGTAGTAGTAGTAGTAGTAGTAGTAGTAGTAGTAGTAGTAGTAGTAGTAGTAGTAGTAGTAGTAGTAGTAGTAGTAGTAGTAGTAGTAGTAGTAGTAGTAGTAGTAGTAGTAGTAGTAGTAGTAGTAGTAGTAGTAGTAGTAGTAGTAGTAGTAGTAGTAGTAGTAGTAGTAGTAGTAGTAGTAGTAGTAGTAGTAGTAGTAGTAGTAGTAGTAGTAGTAGTAGTAGTAGTAGTAGTAGTAGTAGTAGTAGTAGTAGTAGTAGTAGTAGTAGTAGTAGTAGTAGTAGTAGTAGTAGTAGTAGTAGTAGTAGTAGTAGTAGTAGTAGTAGTAGTAGTAGTAGTAGTAGTAGTAGTAGTAGTAGTAGTAGTAGTAGTAGTAGTAGTAGTAGTAGTAGTAGTAGTAGTAGTAGTAGTAGTAGTAGTAGTAGTAGTAGTAGTAGTAGTAGTAGTAGTAGTAGTAGTAGTAGTAGTAGTAGTAGTAGTAGTAGTAGTAGTAGTAGTAGTAGTAGTAGTAGTAGTAGTAGTAGTAGTAGTAGTAGTAGTAGTAGTAGTAGTAGTAGTAGTAGTAGTAGTAGTAGTAGTAGTAGTAGTAGTAGTAGTAGTAGTAGTAGTAGTAGTAGTAGTAGTAGTAGTAGTAGTAGTAGTAGTAGTAGTAGTAGTAGTAGTAGTAGTAGTAGTAGTAGTAGTAGTAGTAGTAGTAGTAGTAGTAGTAGTAGTAGTAGTAGTAGTAGTAGTAGTAGTAGTAGTAGTAGTAGTAGTAGTAGTAGTAGTAGTAGTAGTAGTAGTAGTAGTAGTAGTAGTAGTAGTAGTAGTAGTAGTAGTAGTAGTAGTAGTAGTAGTAGTAGTAGTAGTAGTAGTAGTAGTAGTAGTAGTAGTAGTAGTAGTAGTAGTAGTAGTAGTAGTAGTAGTAGTAGTAGTAGTAGTAGTAGTAGTAGTAGTAGTAGTAGTAGTAGTAGTAGTAGTAGTAGTAGTAGTAGTAGTAGTAGTAGTAGTAGTAGTAGTAGTAGTAGTAGTAGTAGTAGTAGTAGTAGTAGTAGTAGTAGTAGTAGTAGTAGTAGTAGTAGTAGTAGTAGTAGTAGTAGTAGTAGTAGTAGTAGTAGTAGTAGTAGTAGTAGTAGTAGTAGTAGTAGTAGTAGTAGTAGTAGTAGTAGTAGTAGTAGTAGTAGTAGTAGTAGTAGTAGTAGTAGTAGTAGTAGTAGTAGTAGTAGTAGTAGTAGTAGTAGTAGTAGTAGTAGTAGTAGTAGTAGTAGTAGTAGTAGTAGTAGTAGTAGTAGTAGTAGTAGTAGTAGTAGTAGTAGTAGTAGTAGTAGTAGTAGTAGTAGTAGTAGTAGTAGTAGTAGTAGTAGTAGTAGTAGTAGTAGTAGTAGTAGTAGTAGTAGTAGTAGTAGTAGTAGTAGTAGTAGTAGTAGTAGTAGTAGTAGTAGTAGTAGTAGTAGTAGTAGTAGTAGTAGTAGTAGTAGTAGTAGTAGTAGTAGTAGTAGTAGTAGTAGTAGTAGTAGTAGTAGTAGTAGTAGTAGTAGTAGTAGTAGTAGTAGTAGTAGTAGTAGTAGTAGTAGTAGTAGTAGTAGTAGTAGTAGTAGTAGTAGTAGTAGTAGTAGTAGTAGTAGTAGTAGTAGTAGTAGTAGTAGTAGTAGTAGTAGTAGTAGTAGTAGTAGTAGTAGTAGTAGTAGTAGTAGTAGTAGTAGTAGTAGTAGTAGTAGTAGTAGTAGTAGTAGTAGTAGTAGTAGTAGTAGTAGTAGTAGTAGTAGTAGTAGTAGTAGTAGTAGTAGTAGTAGTAGTAGTAGTAGTAGTAGTAGTAGTAGTAGTAGTAGTAGTAGTAGTAGTAGTAGTAGTAGTAGTAGTAGTAGTAGTAGTAGTAGTAGTAGTAGTAGTAGTAGTAGTAGTAGTAGTAGTAGTAGTAGTAGTAGTAGTAGTAGTAGTAGTAGTAGTATAGTAGTAGTAGTAGTAGTAGTAGTAGTAGTAGTAGTAGTAGTAGTAGTAGTAGTAGTAGTAGTAGTAGTAGTAGTAGTAGTAGTAGTAGTAGTAGTAGTAGTAGTAGTAGTAGTAGTAGTAGTAGTAGTAGTAGTAGTAGTAGTAGTAGTAGTAGTAGTAGTAATGGTAGATAAGTGTTCGAATATTCATTTCAGTTTTACTACCTCACATTTGTTATTTATTCATTTTTCCCTTGGGTTCCTAGTGGAACATACGGCTTCAGTAGCGCCTCTCCATTGTACTCTCTTGTCTGCAGTCTTTTCAACCTATAGCTCCACGTTTACCCACAAGCTTCATTTCTTCCTCACACCATCTCCTCCATTTCACCCTCAGTCGGGACACCCAAATGGTCGTTTCCCAGTTGGATTCCACTCGACGGCCTTAGCTAGCGCGTGATGTCCCCAGTTTGCCTTCTCAGTGTGAATCCAATCCATCTCCACTTTCTCTGCATATCTGTTGGGTGATAGGTCCTTGGTCGGTTCGTTGCCAGAGTTGCTTGTTGCGATTTTTCTGTCCATCTGATCTTTCACAACTTGACATAATTGATGACCAATCATTTTAACCTTTACTAATTTTGCTAAAAAAATTAGCATCACTCTCTACTCTCTCGACGAATAAACTGAAAGTAATACGGTTTCATCATGTAAGATATACAACACCATCACTGACGTATACATCCACTTGACAATACTACAACACCCTACTACTACTGCTACTACTACTTCTAAAAGTCAGAAGCAGTAAAGTGACTTCCAATAACAGGTAAGTATACTTAACTTACCTCAACTCATTCATGGTACAATTCGGATGTTCTAAAAGGAATTTAAATACCTTCTCCCAATAACTACGATAACTTAGACGACCTAAATCAGATAAAGGTTTCTCTGGTGTACACCAACAACTTGCTCAATCTTCGCTAATTCATAACAACCCCACCAGGGATCAAACTCACAACATTCAGGTTTCACAGCGAACACGTTAACTATTCACCAACTGGGTCGGAGTTCAGTGGTTCACACCTTCCACTTCTGTCAATTCACGATATAGCACGACTATCAACCAAGGTCTTCAGATGGCATTCACTTCCCTTCCGACTGGTTGACCACACCCCAGGTCACATCTCCTCATTAGAACTTCATGATCCATCATCCATCTGGAAACATGTCACCAATGAGAACTACAGTAATGTATTTTTGAGATGAATGGGGATTTCGATTTTGAGATAGTATTGAAAGATATCAGAGTATAAGATTAAGTAAGTAGGTCGTACGACAAATGAGTGAAAGATGCAAGTGATTGAGTCAAGCTTAGTTAATAAAAAAAACTGGACATGAACAAAAGAAGGATATCACGAGAAGGCGTGATCAGTGAGATCAACCAGTCGGAAAGGAAGTGGATGCCGTCTGAAAACCTTGGGTGATAGTTGCACGATATCATGGATTGAGGAAAGTTGGAAACTGTGAACTATTGAACTCCTATCCAGCGGGTGACTGGTTAGGGCGTTCACCGTGAAGCCTAAATGCTCTGAGTTTGATCCTTGGTGGGGTAGTGGGTGGGTGTTGATGAGGTCTCCCATCCTAGGATGAAACAGCTCTCCAATGCTCCCAGATTTTCAGTGGTTCTCTAAATGATGTCAGTCCGAGGTGAATACTACCTCGCCAATGAGTACTGTGTACTGATATACTACTCGATGTTTCCTGAAGCTTTCTTGAGGATCCTATGTAAACTTTCTGACGTACCGCCTTCCTTATAAAGTAACACAATGGAGGTTGTGAACTCCTTTCTACTCGTGTTGTCACTGTTACTTCGTTTCTTATGTGTTCGTACGAACTGATAAACTGTGGAGGATAATTATTAACTATTAGGGCTTCTTTTAAGTGCTTCAGTTCCTGTCTAGGTCCTCCCGCTGACTAATCAGTCTTCTACTTCTATCGTTTAGACATTTAACTAAACCAGCCTTAAATCACATTGGATGAGATGATTCGAAGTATAATTAAGTGCAGAAAGAAACAGACTGATAACTGAATCTTTGCTGATCGATCAATACTCACCCAACACACGCGACAGAAGTGACGCAACACCTATACCAGAGATAAGGAAAATTTTACTACCAATAAAACTAGAAAATATGAGGTGGGTGGTATGATTATGAGCGACAATAATTTATGCACGAAACGTTATCAAGTATATATATATATATATATATATATATATATATATATATATATATATCGTCGGTTCTCCTCAGTTGCTCTACAACCTATAAAATATAGTGTTTATGACAACTAAAAAACGTGTTTACAATGTACTCTCATGAATTGGGCTACTATAAAGGCCACCCCAGTAACCCACGGATCACCAATAACGTTTTTCTACTCTAAGAAGGCGGCACTCGACTCCGTTGATCGAGAAGTGTTATAACAATGTCTCTCACTGAAAGGCGTATCGAGTAAGTACATCACGTTATCGAAGGCTCTCTACTCAACACTTCTGGCATGTTAGAGCCTATGGTGAGATATCAGATGAGCTGTGCTCATCAAGTGGTATCCGTCAAGGGTCCCCACTCTCTCCATTCTTATTCACCTTTATCATAGATATTCTTATGGAGGTCTCCCTCTCTCCATCTGACTACATAGACGTTGATGTAATCGCAGGAGAATTTTCCTTAGACCTAGAATACTCAGATGACACAGTCCTGTTAGGTGAAGACGCTGACCGATAAGATGTAGAGTCTTCTGGACACTTTGAGTGGAAATTTGAGAATGTTTGGGATGCGTTTCTCACCACCGAAATACAAATTGTTGCTCGAGGATCGGTCTTCAACGGTGCTATAGCTAACAATAGAGAGTGCAGAGGTTGAGTGTGTAGACCGGCTTCACTTACCTCGGAAGTAGGATCAGCCCTGGTGGGTCAGTCGCCGACGAAATTTCTGCAAGGATACAAAAGGCTCGACTGGCTTTCGCCAACTTATGCCACCTATGCGCCGCCATGATATCCGATTGTCTATTAAGAGTTGCGTGTACTGCACAGCAGTCCACTCTGTTCTACTATATGGCTGTGAAACATGGCCATTGAAGGTGGACATGAGGTTTCAAGTGTTTGACCACCGTTGCCTTCGCAGTACAGGCCGTATTCCATGGTGTCACCACATGAGTAACGCAGAAGTCAGGTACAGAGTTTTAGGGATTAGAGGTAAATCAGTTGACACGGTTGTGAACCTTTAAGAGCCACACCAATTCCACCAAGTGGTCTCGGTAATCTTGTCGCGATCTCTGATACATTCTTTATGGATAGTAAGACGATGCATTTGTTGATTTCTGTCGATGACTTTGTAGTTGATGATGTACGGGATAGGCATTTTCTGATAAAGTTTCGCGAGTAGCCGTTCTTCTTTAGAATAGACATCATGTAGTTTTCTTCGTTTTTCCGTGACATTATACTGCATTGTGTTCTCGCTCTTTTCAGTAGTCTGCAGGCAACTAATTTTGTGCGTTGTTGAGTCGTTGCTACTGTAGTTGAGGATTCGATCAGTGTGTCTTGGCTTCCAGTACACTTGGGTTTCCAGCTTTCCGTTATTTGACCTTTGACTAAGACATCCAGGAATGGTAGTTTGTTTGTTTGACTCCTTCTCGAATGTGAATTTGATGCCATTGAAAACATTGTTGATCAGAGAGTTTTCTAAATGACTTTTTTAATGGTGACAAAAGTATCGTCTACATAGCGAATTCAAATTTTTGGTTTATACATAGGTAGGATGATGACTACCAGTTTCTGCAATCAGTCCAGATATCGGTGACCTAATTGTAGTTCCTTTCATCTCTTTGTATACATTATTATTATTTTTCCCTTGGGTTCCTAGTGGAACATAGTTTGTTGGAAGTGCTTTTCGTGATGCGCCAAGTTTTTGAACCATCACATAAAAGCACTGACTTGACTGACTTAGTGTTGAAAATCTGGATCTTGTTCATGCTTTATGCTGATCGGAGTGCAATGCAATGTAGTGCAGTAGATCTCCACACTGATTTCAGATTTATGAAGACCTGCCTGGATGTGTTTCCGATCCTGGACTTGACATCCTTATCTGTGCTTCTGCCGACTGTAGTTGAAACGATGCTGCCTTGCGGGGAGGTAGGTAGGTGAAAGAGACAACTTGCTTTAGATTTCTCCCGTTGATGGTGATTGGTGCTTGTTGTTGTTGTTATTGGTTTGGGTATCTTCATCGCCTCTATCTTCTCTACGTTCACTTGAAGTCCCATCTTCGCTGCCCTGTGTCTTCTGTCAACCTGTTGGTTTTCGCCCGTAGATCTTCCAGTTTGTGCAACATTAGACATGTTTGTGTATCTTGCCATCTTGTTATTCATTATAATGAAAACCTGTTGACCTTTCATTACGTTTACTTAACCATAATTTCATTTTCACCAATTCTAGAATATCATTTTGACTAACTTGGATAGCTGCAGTGGTTTGGCAGATTAGTGTCTATACTGGATGATGATTGGAGCTGAAATGAAAATTTGGACAGCGGCCGGAAACCCAGTGGTCGCTGGTTCGAATCCGGCCACGATCCAAATTTTCATTTCACCTTCAACCATCACCCAGTATAAATTCTAGAATAATATTGAGTGCTATGTGTTTTTTTATCATAAACATTATATTTCATAGATTATAAAGCAGCTGGAGAGAATCAACGAAATGTTTTCTTGCGAATTCCGCTACTATTATCCTTCTTGCTTTGTTTTTTTTAGAGAGTGATTAGCCAAATAACATACTGAATTAACCTGCAGAGTTGTGGCTTAGTAGCCTAGACAGTTGCCTTCCCACCTAGTGGATCACGGGTTCGAGCATAGTAGGTTTGGGCTACCAGGTAGTATTAGCATCAACCCTTACACAATAGGTATGGTCTATCGTCTACTCCATGAATGCGCACGATTTTCCTTCGTATTGAATCAAACAATTTTCTTTATCGACTGCAAAGTGGTCCTATTGTCGAACATTTAAAGATTATAATGTTACAAAAAAATCCAAACCTGTTAAGAGATGTAGACGGTTCTCAGAACAGATAAAACCGATAGCTCTAGACTATGAGAAAGCGTACTCCCACTTATCAATGTACTCTATACTCTATTCCCATTTCTTTATAACTCAATATATTGACTACCTCTGACTTGCCTATTAGATGTATAGTACTGGTAAGAAGTACATTGGTCTGTTTAATGCACTATCTCGACTACTCTTCAACACATTCGGCAGGTCTATTCACAATATATTGTTTGTTTATTTTTCATGCTTTGTAAAAACATTTTCCATCCTACATTAAGCATAATAGTCATGACATTAAGCATAAAAGTACTATCACTTACTGAGACTTATTAAAAAATGACCATAACCACGTCTTTGAAATGGTGGTAAAGTTAAGATACACGCTAGATTATAGTTGTCAGCGGAAACTTTCTCCTACAAAGACAAGTGAAAAAAAAATGTTGAGAAAATGAAGCAACAAAACAAGTACAGAAGGTCTCAGAAATTTCAATGTATGAAGTCATTGACTATTGATTTGAGCCACCGTGGGGCAATGCAGACAAGCAGGTGGGTGACCGGCAAAACAAGAGGAAACATTGGTTGGAGTGTGCCTCTCGGGTTATTGCCTTCTCACCTGATGCGCTAGTACGATGGAAATCTATGCGTTTTTGAATAGACGGAAATTTACAAAAGGTAAATATATATTATTTTATCAATGCTTAATCTCTTTAATGAACATGATGGTTGATAGTGACTAGCAGTAGAATTCAAACCGCATGTTTCATGCTAACACTGATATTTGTCCACCGGATGCACAAGTAGTAATATAAAAACTATACCCATTGAAAAAATAAGCAACTGTCGTGAGTCAGTAGCCATGTGGCATTTGAAGCAAACAGTTTTGGATCGGAGTCTTGTTGACAACAATGTCACTCACTGAAAGGCAGATAAATCCAACTGGCGAGTCCTCGATTCCACTTGGATGCATTGCGTCATCCATCCATCTATTCAAATCAACATAGGATCAGGCATTACTACACAACAGTCCAAGTTGCCACACTCCATATCACCACATCAAGTAAAATGCCAGTGAAGTAAGTGGAAGATGAAGAAAAAAAATTCAGTCGAAAGAAATATAAAGTAGTAAAGGAGAGAAAGGAAGAATGAGGAAACGGTGAGATTCGGTATATCGTCGTTAACATGAGGATAATGTGTGTGTGTGTGTGTGTGTACATCTGCACCACTGATATCAGTTCTCAGCCATATCATCACTTAGAATCAGTCTCTAACCATTGGTTTCTCTTGTCCCACGGACCCCAAACACCTAGTCTGCATCACCCCACATGGCTCAAACAAATAATCAATGACTTCATACATTGATGCCATGTTTTAGTCTGGTCACCTCGGGCCTTCTTGCACCCTGAACCTACTTCGGCCAACATTGTGTGACGAGGCATTCGGCGACTAGGCATGCGTAACACCTGTCCCAACCACCCATCTCAGTCGATGAAGGTTCACAACAGTATCATCAACTGACTTACCTCTCCTGTCTAAAACTCTACACCTGACTTCTGCATTACTCATGTGCCGATACCACGAAACACAGCCTATATTACGAAGGTAACGGTGGTCAAACACTTGAAGTCTTCTCATGTCTTCCACCTTCAATAGCCATGTTTCACAGCCATGCAGTGAAACAGAGTGGACTACAGCATAGTACACTCGACCAACAATAGACAGTCGGATATCGCCGTTGCGCCACAGATGGCGTACATTGGCAAAAACCAACTGAGTATTTTGAATCTGTTCAGAGATTTCGTCGGTCACTTAACCACCAGGCATGATCCTAGGTAAGTGAAGTGTTCAACGCACTCGACCACTTCACTCTCTATTGTTAGCCATGGCACCGTTGAAGACCAATCCTCGAGCAACAATTTGTATTTCGGTGGTGAGAAACGCATCCCAAACATTCTCAAATTTCCACTCAAAGTGTCCAGAAGACTCTACATCTTATCGGTCAGCGTCTTCACCTAACAGGACTGTGTCATCTGAGTATTCTAGGTCTAAGGAAAATTCTCCTGCGATTACATCAACGTCTATGTAGTCAGATGGAGAGAGGGAGACCTCCATAAGAATATCTATGATAAAGGTGAATAAGAATGGAGAGAGTGGGGACCCTTGACGGATACCACTTGATGAGCACAGCTCATCTGATATCTCACCATAGGCTCTAACATGCCCAGAAGTGTTCGAGTAAAGAGCCTTCGACAGTTTGATTACTTACTGTTCGTTGTCTTTTATTACACTTTCAGGAAGCATATCAACCTAACTTTATTTAATATGCTATGCTGTGTGCTGTTATTAGTCCACTAAGTGGTACTATACTGAACAAAATGCGACCCTCTTGATATCAAGAATCTAACCGGTGAAAAACGGGATTCACAATTTTGTACAGTAAACAGTGATACTATCCGACTGACGAAACCTCGATATTTGCAGATCAATAGGAAGTCGAGTGTCTTGACCAATAAACGACAACCCCACAAGAATGCAGACTATAGCTGGAGAGGATATTTGACAAAATCATCTACTTCAGTGAATGAACGTGAAAATTATTTCAACAAAAAAATAAACATAATTATTTTACCTTGGAAAAGTAACCAACAAGATGTATGCCAGCATTATCAGTCTCACAGAGGACGTAGAATACAAACGGTGAAACATCATAATATAATGTTTTATGATCCAAAAATAACTTGGCCAGTAGGCATAAGTTTTGACAATAGAGCTGTTAAACGAACGAAGAAAAAAATGCGTAAATATTCAAGACTGAAACCGGTAGACTTTAAGTTATTTGAAAATGATATATGAGTAGAACTTAGGCATTGTAGTTAGGTATAATTCTATTTATATGATAATGACAAGTGAAAAATTACGCTTGAAAACTTGTCCAGTGAATATATTACTGTTTGATTGTGTCATATATCTGACATCAAAAACAAGATATTCAACGAAGAGGACTCTTTTCAACGAATTTATTCTCTGGCTGCACATTTACATATATATGATACATCAAGATAGTAATCCGTAGGGAAGATTAACCTAAATAATGGAGGGGGATTGAAATAATAATGTTGCCAGTTTATGACGTAAACGTTGAATGATAACGAAAAGGGGTTGTGTAAGATTTCAAAGCGTTTCTAAGGTGCATATAGATTAAAAAGGGGGTGAAAATGTGTTACAGTTAATAATTGCCGTTGCCACATCAAGAACAAGATATTCAGAGAAGAGACTTTTTTCAACCAAATTATTTTTAAGCTATACAGTCGTATATATATGATATTTGAAAAATTATATCCCGTGAGCAAAACTAAACACTATATGAAAGTCATGATGACAATAATAATAATAATAATAATAATAATAATAATAATAATAATAATAATAATAAAATGGATGATGACATAGGTACTTGTGACTATGATAACAATTGAAGTTTGAATGATAACAAAGCGGATTACGTAACACATGGAATGGTTAATGGAAGGAATAAAACTCAGAAAGGGATAAAAAACTGATGAGTGGTAAATCAGCTAAGTATTATGTAACAAGGTTGGTTATATTGCGTGATGATCGACGGTGAAATGGAAATTTGGACTGAGGCAAAATTCCAACCAGCAGCCACAGGGTTTACGGCCCGATACTCTACCAACTCAGCTACCACGTCCAACTGCTGACCACATCTTTTTCTTTCATTTCACTAATAAGATTCAACAACTTGGTCAAGATGAAATCAATGTCTTCCAGAAAGACTAAGACAATTCACTGAAATAACACCGGAAACTAATCAAAGTGAAGCCAATTATAATAACAGTTGCACTCATAAACGAAGGATATAAAGGTTACATTAACAAAGGGGAGGGGAAACTAGTGAGAGTGTGGATATTTCATGGCCATCGTAAAACACAGTGTCTGTACATACTTCTCTTGTACACACAGATCAGGTTTTAGTTCATGAATAGCTGAAGCCTCTGCTACTTTAAGGAGTTGAAAACGAAGAAAACGTGAGAGGTTTGGGCGAATTTGATAAATGATTTTAAAGTCATTGTCACTGGGTTTGTTGAGTGATGGAAATCAATCAAATGTTCTAGAATCGAACTCCTAACAGACTTTCTTTCACCTTTATAAAACCGAGCTGCAACATGTTCTCGTATACGTGTAGAAAGCATTCTCTGACTACGGCGGATGTATTTCGCTCCACAAGAGCAGGTGAACTGGTAGATGCACATAGAGGCGGCCAAACGAGGAAGCTTATCTTTAACACAAAAGGAGAACAGTTTACGGCTGATAAAATTCAATTGAAATCTTGCTATGAAGAAAGTTCTATTGATTGGTCTGCGAAGGCGATTCTTGAGTTCATGTGATGCTTGGTCACCTTTAAATTCTAAGCTCATGAACATTGTTTTCTTTGAGACCGAATGGATGACCGGTTTAGTATTTCTTCCTCGCATAATTTTATCAATAAATCAGCATGGGTAACCGTTTTCAACAAGTGTAACTTTTTAAAACGATAACTCTTCATTAATACAATACATTAATACATCCAGAAAATGGAATTCTGAGTTCTCACTGAATTCTGATGTAAAGTTGATCGATAGGTGACAATCATTCAACTTTTTAACTGGAAAAGCTCTGGAAAAAAGCTCAACTAAATCAAATCATGAAACTAACCATAACCTCACAATGGGATGGGGTAGAATGACAGTCCTTAAAACTAAAGTTGTTTAATAATAGACTGCTATATATTTATGATATATGCATAAATACGATTGTATAGCTTTAGAAAATGATATCATCGAAAAGTTATTCAAAATAATATTGTTCGCTCAAATTATTCTTTTTCAGATTGCAGAAACTAAATAGCTGAAAATGGGAATCGAAAGAATGGTTGAGATGTTATTGGTTTATTATTTTCTCCCTATTTCCACTTCGTAAACATTTAAAACTGTGATTCTTTACCTCACTGAAGATTTTCTTCAATGGCATTTAGATAGACTACTTAATTCCGATAACAACAGATTTGGTTATTATACATAGTTGCTAAAAGAATTCATGGTATTTTTGGGTATGACGAAGAAATAGAATAATTCCGCATACCACATATTCACTAAGTGGCTGACTGTAATTTCTCGACCAGTGAGATGTCGGATTACTAGGTATGTTTCACTTGATTCATTAGATTCTATTGGCACAGTAACGAATCTCAGTGTTCCTGGAAAATAAATCTTCACTCCACATAAATGTTCCACTTACGGTAAGTACAGGGTCCTCCGCGCCCACCTCCCTTCTAGTTAACTGCTTCATGGCCAGTTATGAAAGCACCATTCTACATCTAGTTATCGATGAGTTCCATTTGTATAAAAGATACATGGATAATACTTTCATCATTTGAAATGAGAAAACTTATGTTGATGATAATTTTCTGAAATTCAGTTATTCACATCTCTCGATCACTTTCACGATGGAAGTTAAAGACAATTGAGAATTCCATTTTCTTGATATTTTGTTGGAGAGAAGACTTGATGAACCCATTGAAGCGTCCATCTTCAGGTAACCAACTTGAAATGGATAATATACTCATTTTTAGAGATGATTACCACTCACCGATAAAGAAACCTAATTCATTCGCTTTCCATGGGAATAAGAATTTGCACAGATGATACTGTAGACAAAAAAGAAGCAAAACCTTTGCAAAGCGCTTCCTATGAATTGATGTTATTGGTTTATTATTTTCTCCCTATTTCCACTTCGTAAACATTTAAAACTGTGATTCTTTACCTCACTGAAGATTTCTTCAATGGCATTTAGATAGACTACTTAATTCCGATAACAACAGATTTGGTTATTATACATAGTTGCTAAAAGAATTCATGGTATTTTTGGGTATGACGAAGAAATAGAATAATTCCGCATACCACATATTCACTCAGTGGCTGACTGCAATTTATCGACCAGTGAGAAGTCGGATTACTAGGTATGTTTCACTTGATTCATTAGATTCGACTGATACTGTGCTGTGCTCATCAAGTGGTATCCGTCAAGGGTCCCCACTCTCTCCATTCTTATTCACCTTTATCATAGATATTCTTATGGAGGTCTCCCTCTCTCCATCTGACTACATAGACGTTGATGTAATCGCAGGAGAATTTTCCTTAGACCTAGAATACTCAGATGACACAGTCCTGTTAGGTGAAGACGCTGACCGATAAGATGTAGAGTCTTCTGGACACTTTGAGTGGAAATTTGAGAATGTTTGGGATGCGTTTCTCACCACCGAAATACAAATTGTTGCTCGAGGATTGGTCTTCAACGGTGCCATGGCTAACAATAGAGAGTGAAGTGGTCGAGTGCGTTGAACACTTCACTTACCTAGGATCATGCCTGGTGGTTAAGTGACCGACGAAATCTCTGAACAGATTCAAAATACTCAGTTGGTTTTTGCCAATGTACGCCATCTGTGGCGCAACGGCGATATCCGACTGTCTATTGTTGGTCGAGTGTACTATGCTGTAGTCCACTCTGTTTCACTGCATGGCTGTGAAACATGGCTATTGAAGGTGGAAGACATGAGAAGACTTCAAGTGTTTGACCACCGTTACCTTCGTAATATAGGCTGTGTTTCGTGGTATCGGCACATGAGTAATGCAGAAGTCAGGTGTAGAGTTTTAGACAGGAGAGGTAAGTCAGTTGATGATACTGTTGTGAACCTTCATCGACTGAGATGGGTGGTTGGGACAGGTGTTACGCATGCCTAGTCGCCGAATGCCTCGTCACACAATGTTGGCCGAAGTAGGTTCAGGGTGCAAGAAGGCCCGAGGTGACCAGACTAAAACATGGCATCAATGTATGAAGTCATTGATTATTTGTTTGAGCCATGTGGGGTGATGCAGACTAGGTGTTTGGGGTCCGTGGGACAAGAGAAACCAATGGTTAGAGACTGATTCTAAGTGATGATATGGCTGAGAACTGATATCAGTGGTGCAGATGTACACACACACACACACACATTATCCTCATGTTAACGACGATATACCGAATCTCACTGTTTCCTCATTCTTCCTTTCTCTCCTTTACTACTTTATATTTCTTTCGACTGAATTTTCTTTTCTTCATCTTCCACTTACTTCACTGGCATTTTACTTGATGTGGTGATATGGGTGTGGCAACTTGGACTGTTGTGTAGTAATGCCTGATCCTATGTTGATTTGAATAGATGGATGGATGACGCAATGCATCCAAGTGGAATCGAGGACTCGCCAGTTGGATTTATCTGCCTTTCAGTGAGTGACATTGTTGTCAACAAGACTCCGATCCAAAACTGTTTGCTTCAAATGCCACATGGCTACTGACTCACGACAGTTGCTTATTTTTTTCAATGGGTATAGTTTTTATATTACTACTTGTGCATCCGGTGGACAAATATCAGTGTTAGCATGAAACATGCGGTTTGAATTCTACTGCTAGTCACTATCAACCATCATGTTCATTAAAGAGATTAAGCATTGATAAAATAATATATATTTACCTTTTGTAAATTTCCGTCTATTTCAAAACGCATAGATTTCCATGATTGTAAATTTCTTTACCAGGTGGTTGTTTCACTTTACAACTATGCTGTATGTGTTTCAGCCAAGTCTCAGAACATTTCATATATTTTAAACAATATTCACATATCCATAATTTTTTAACCTGCCTACACTCTTCAGGATATGGTGAAAAATACCATGTATCAATTTCATATTTGCCAAATTGTATCTGATCAATGAATTTCACTCGTGTAAACTAATAAAATTGAAATAATACAAACAAAAAATAACAGAATAATTCACTTTCACTATACAAAAACAGTAGACTAGCTACTGAAATAAACTTGACTGATTATCCATGTGTTGCATATGCCAATTCACCGCCTACTTTACACATGCTATGCTAAGAAAAGTTGTATTAGATTGAAAGAGGGTTCAGTATGACCAGACTTAGATGTGAAACCAGTCAATGAACTCTCGCAATCCTGGTGTCAGCTGCATAAACTACTTGGCTGGGGTTAAGATCCCTGAAACTATAAGAATCAGTGATTCAGGACTTTTGGTGACATGAGTGAAAACTAGTCGGTCACAGTGGAATCTTCTAAAGCTTGAATATACACACCAATCGTTATCTTTCGACTGTTTATTCTCTCATACAACTTGATCTACTTTGATATTACTCCTTTTTTATCCACCTACTCTTTGTATTCTACTGTTAAGTGAGAGGGTCTCAGGTGTTTGACCACCGTTGCCTTCGTAATATAGGCTGTGTTTCGTGGTATCGGCACATGAGTAATGCAGAAGTCAGGTGTAGAGTTTTAGACAGGAGAGGTAAGTCAGTTGATGATACTGTTGTGAACCTTCATCGACTGAGATGGGTGGTTGGGACAGGTGTTACGCATGCCTAGTCGCCGAATGCCTCGTCACACAATGTTGGCCGAAGTAGGTTCAGGGTGCAAGAAGGCCCGAGGTGACCAGACTAAAACATGGCATCAATGTATGAAGTCATTGATTATTTGTTTGAGCCATGTGGGGTGATGCAGACTAGGTGTTTGGGGTCCGTGGGACAAGAGAAACCAATGGTTAGAGACTGATTCTAAGTGATGATATGGCTGAGAACTGATATCAGTGGTGCAGATGTACACACACACACACACACACATTATCCTCATGTTAACGACGATATACCGAATCTCACTGTTTCCTCATTCTTCCTTTCTCTCCTTTACTACTTTATATTTCTTTCGACTGAATTTTTTTTTCTTCATCTCCCACTTACTTCACTGGCATTTTACTTGATGTGGTGATATGGGGTGTGGCAACTTGGACTGTTGTGTAGTAATGCCTGATCCTATGTTGATTTGGATGATTATGACTGTGAAATGTGGCGAGTTAAACCAATACACTGAAGTGCGAGGTTGTGTGTTGATTCTGTCTGTCTGTCATTGGAAGAGGAAAGATTCAACAACAAAAATGTGTGAATATACAACAGATACTACTGATAAATATGAGTACGCAGGGACCAATTAGATTAACCATAAGTACCCCACCCCCTAAGAAACTGGAAGCCATATGAACAGCGCATAACAATTTCCTTGATTTTCAAGGTTGCACTTGTTCAAAATTCGGTCCTCAACTGATCTTATCGATTACCAACCCTTGTTGTATAATAACATTAGACTCGATTTTGTTATTATCTATGTACCTGATTACATAGTAAGTGACCTGTGCACTTCGGTTTTTGAAGGAGACTAACGTGAAACTGTGCACCTCAGTGACAAATCGTTGTGCAGTTGTCTGTCATTCTAATGCATCAATCATGCAAAAAAAATCGATTCATTCACTCTAAGTAAAACTCATTTAAAGGTCAATTACAGTAATTGCATATATGTTCAACATTGTAGTCGTGTAGAAAAACAAAAAATACGATAAATCGGGATAAAGTCGAGATAATTTCTGTACAATTAGACTAAAACATTTGATTTCCAAAACGGATCATCCCTGAGTAGTTGACTTTACAAAGTACGGAAACAGTGTAACGTGTTGGATTGCCGCACTCACCGATTTCTAAAGTATGTTAGTATTTCATTCATCCCTTACAAACCCTGGAAGTTATATGCACTAATTGTTTGGAAAAACAGGTTTTCAACTTCACTTTTATGAAAACATCCATACCACACGAATTTGTTAACTATGACTTCGCTGGCTGGAATCCGGTCGCCGTCTAAATTTCCATTTCACCTTCAATCACCACCAAGTATCGATACTAGTCTGTCAAACCACGACTATCTCACTCAGATAGTCAGAATGATAATCACTATGATGCCCCTCCTTTCATTCCAATTCAGTTAGGTTTCGATTGGGATGAGAAGTTCCAACTGGCCAGCCAGTGTGAATACAATCAAGCGATAGTAACGCGTCACGAATTCATATGGTAGCCGGGCAAAACTCAACTTGTGATTAAAGTGAAATAAAAATCTGATCAGCAGTCGGACTTGGTGGCTGAGTTGGTAGAGCATCGGGCCGAAAACGCGATGGTCACTAGTTAGAATCCTCTCGTGATCTAAATTTTCATTTCATCTTTTATCATCATCCAGTAAAAATACAACTTCCTTGCCAGAAACTATGAACATCCAATTACATGAACACATTTTCAATCCTCTCAGTTGCCTTGGGCATAATTCGTAAATTAGACAACGAGTTTACGTGCTCAAACCTCAGTAGTTGGAGCTGCATTCAAACCCTCCACCTATCAACTGGAAATCAAGTGCCTAGACCAATTAACTACACCTCCACAACAGTTCACTCTAATGACAAAATTTACAACAATAAACCAGTCCAAACAATATTATCTAGACTGTCTTACAATTTCCAAGTCAATGACTTCATATACTAGTTTCATGTTTCGTAACAAACGCCGTGAAACTTTTCATACCTCATAGTTGTTCCATTTAATAACACGCTAATATACACGATGATATGTCACATGTAATGTAGGCGCCAAGAAATTCACAAGATGACCATTAACAATTTCAGACAATAACTTACTTTACCTATACGAAATCATACGTCTAACTTCAATACTGCACAGACAGATAGGTAGATAGAATCAACGTAGAACCTTGTACACATGTGCGTCGGCTCAAGTTGCCACATTTCACAGAAGTACACGAACAACAAGTGGAGAAAAGAAGACTCATATCAAAGTAGACAAAGTTGTGTGAGAAAATAAACAATTTGAATATAAAGGTTAGTGTGAACAATCAAGCTTTAGAAGATATCAATGAGTGAATACATCTACGCCATCGTGACCAAACGATTTTCAACCATGTCACCAAGACTTGTCAAGCAATCATTTCAATCATCACAGGCACCGCAGCCACGGCTTAGACTAGCAGTCAAGCACTTCATCGACTGGTACCACGTCTTGGTAATATTGGATGGATAATGAATACCCTACATATTTTCTTGTGCTGTACACTTTCTACGGTCACACCTGAAGAATAGAAAAGTACAAAAAAGATCGTTGTGAAGAATAATTCACCTATGATAAGCATTTGGATACCTTCCCAGTGGTGCAATTGCATTCGTTTCGAAAGTATCAAACGAACTTTTCGCACCTAGACTAAGATTTTATCCCGCAAAAGGGTTAACAATGCTGGTGGAACATGTATTAAACCAGGAGCCTGCACAGACCAGTAGCGGAAGACAATCATGCAGTTAACCTTTACTAAAGTCATCCCGAATCTTTTCTTTCCAAGATGACTTCCTCTACAGGCGTCTTTGAAATATCAGTTCCATGACCTATAGTAAACAATGAATCTTCCCTTCGATTCTGCTTTAGAAATAAAGACTAAGGGTTTCTGAAATGTCAACTGAATTAGTTTTTGTAACTAATTTTAGCAGTCGGGTGTGGTAAAACGGAGGCGTCAGAACAGGGTAACAGTGACGTTATACTCCTATTACACAGACGAAGAGACAAAATCAATGTGGAACCTTGAACATCGGTTCAAGTTGCCACACTTTAGCATGCAAACAACAAGCGGATAAAAAGGAATGATATCAAAGTAGACAAAGGTGTATGGGGGGGGGGAGAAAATTAAAAATTGAAGTTAGTCAAGACATTCCATAACCTCGCCTGGTTAACTAGTTCACTAGTTACTAGCCGGTCCTAAGCCCGGGTAAAGAGGGAAGGTTGGGCATAGGGCTAGCAACCCTACCCCGGAAAACAAATCTAACCGCTACAGAAACTTCAAAGCACAAACAAAATATAAAAAATGAAAACAAACTTATTCCCCGCTGGAATCGGAGAGGCGAAATGACGCCAGTTGGTGAAACCCTTCGGGAAGCCAATTGGCCGATGTGTCTTCTCTCGATGAAAGCGAAAGTAAACCTGGGGACATGGAATGTCCACACCATGTTTGAACCCAGCAAGGCAGCCCAGATTGCAAAGAAGATGAGAAGGTATCACATTGAAGTGCTTGGGATTTGCGAAAGCAGATGGAATGGAAGTGGACTCTCCAAACTGTCGACTGGAAAGTCAACAATCTACTCCGAAACTGTCACCCAGACGACAACCACGAGCACACTGAGTTTTGGAGTGGCTATCATGATGTCCTCAAGAGCATCGAAGGCTCTCATGCAGTGGGAACCAGTCTCCTCCAGGATCATGACAGCAAGATTCAACTCAAAAGGAAGGGACGTCACAATCATACAATGTTATGCACCTACAAATAATGCAGAGCAAGAGAAAAAGGAGGATTTCTACAGACAACTTCAATCAACACTGGACAAGACCCCGTCTCAGTTGGCTATATCAAAACTCATTCTGATAGGCGACATGAATGCCAAACTGGGAGGGGACAACACAGGAAGAGAACTAACCATGGGTCGAGAGGCGCTAGGTGAAATGAATGAGAATGGAGAAATGTTTGCAGAATTCTGTGCATTCAACGATTTGGTGATTGGAGGCAGTGTGTTCAGGCACAAAGATATCCACAAAGCGACATGGATTTCACCAGATGGACACACTAAAAATCAAATCGACTTTATCTCAATCTCAAGAAAATGGAGACGCAGTCTACTTAACACAAGGTCAAGAAGAGGAGCAGATGTAGGCTCACACCACTCACTATCTAGTGCAAGGAACCTTCCAAATCAAGTTAAAAGCCTTCAAGGAAGCTGGTGACAGACCTCAATTCAAGTACAACACTCGGAAACTGAAGTATGAAACTACAAAGGAGATCTTCACGGCAGCCATCAAGACAAAATGGATGATATCGAGGAACATCCCTAAAGAAACCTGTGTGGAAGAACACTGGAAGTCTTTGAAAGCTATGTGGAAAGAAACCTGCACAACAGTATTAGGAAGGAAGAAGAAAGAAGACAAGGAATGGATCTCGATGGATACCTGGAAGCTGATAGAGGAGAGGAGGATGGTGAAGCAGAAGATAAACCAGTGCAAGGATGCTCAACGACAAGAGGAACTGAGCACAATGTATAAAACACTGGACAAAGAAGTGAAGAAGAGTGCACGCAAAGACAAAAGACACTTCTACGAAACACTGGCAAGTGAAGCAGAACAGGCTGCAGGTAAGAGAGACCTGACGACATTGTATCAAATAACCAGGTTGCTATCAGGGAAGAGACCAACACAGATGAAACCAATAAAAGATGAAGAAGGAAATTTAATCACGAAAGAAGAGAAACAGAGGAAACGATGGGCCGACCACTTCAAGAAGCTCTTGAATCGACCACCACCTGCACTTCGTCAAGAAATACCACCTGCAGCCGCTGAATTACAAGTGAACATTAATCCCCCAACGAAAATGGAAGTCCTGAACGCCATAAAGCTACTGAAATGTGGGGAAGCAGCAGGACCAGATGGAATACCGCCAGAAGCACTGAGAACAGATGCTGAGACAACAGCGGACATGCTCACACCACTATTGCAGAAGGTGTGGAAGGAAGAGAAGGTACCTGACGATTGGAAGAAGGGTTACCTTGTCAAACTGCCGAAGAAAGGAGACCTCAGTGCTTGCAAGAACTGGCACGGAATCACTCTCCTGTCCACCCAGAGCAAGCAAAATATTAAGCCGCATCATCCTGGAGAGGCTTAAAGACGCACTGGATTCAAAACTGCGACCGGAACAGGCAGGCTTCAGGAAGTACAAATCATGTGCCGACCAAATTGCAACGCTTCGCATCATCATAGAACAGAGCATAGAATGGCAATCAGCTCTCTACCTCAACTTCATCGACTTTGAGAAGGCCTTTGACAGCGTCGACCGAGAAGTAATTTGGAAACTGCTTCAATACTACGGAGTACCGCAAACCTTTATCAGCCTCATTCAACAACTATATGAAGATGCCACATGCCAAGTAATTCACAATGGGAAGCTCAGTAATGCTTTTGAAGTGAAGTGGAGACAGGAGTGAAACAAGGTTGCTTACTATCCCCCATGATATTCCTGATTGTGGTGGACTGGATCATGCAGCAAACAGTAGGCAGCGAGAAGAGGGGGATACGCTGGACGGCGGAAAAGAACCTAGAAGACTTGGATTTCGCCAACGATGACTTGTGCCTGATGTCACATAAACTTGAAGATCTGCAGGCAAAAACTAACAAGTTGACAGAAGAGGAAGGGCAGAGCAGCGAAGACGGGACTTCAAGTGAATATAGAGAAGGCAGAAGTGATGAAGATACCGCACCACCACCATCAACAACAACAACAAACTCCAGTCACCATCAACGGGAGAAACTTAAAGGAAGTAACCTCCTTCACTTATCTAGGAAGCACTGTTTCAACTACAGGCGGGACGGACGAGGACGTCAAAGTCAGAATCGGAAAAGCAAGACAGGCGTTCACTAGCCTGAAACCAGTGTGGAGATCTTCTGCACTCAGCATGCGGAACAAGATACGGATTTTCAACACCAGCGTCAAGTCAGTGCTCCTGTATGGTTCAGAGACTTGGCGCGTCACGAAAGGCATTTCCAATAAACTACAGACATTCATCAACAACTGCTTACGCTCGCTACTGGAGATCAGATGGCCAGAAAGAATAAGCAACAAGGAACTCTGGGAACGAACCAACCAAGAACCTATCACGCAACAAATATGCAGGAAGAAGTGGAGATGGATTGGCCATGCACTGAGAAGGCCGACTGAGGACATCACGCGTCAGGCCAGATGCTCGAGTGGAATCCCCATGGGGAGCGACGAGTTGGACGTCCGAGGGTGACATGGAGGAGATCGTGTGAGGAGGAAATGAGAGCTTCTGGGCTGCCGTGGGACGAGGTTCAAAAGATCTCAGAGAACAGAGGTCACTGGAGGCGTGCTACTGAAGCCCTATGTTCCACTAGGAACCCAAGGGACTAATAATAATAATCAGACATTCCAACTTCAGAAGATGTCAAGAGAAAGTTAACACATCTGCACCACTGTGAATGGTTTTCAACCATGTCACCACCAACAGTCGTTAACCACTCATTACTTTCATCTCATGAGCCACAGTCGGGTAGTCTGCATCCCCAACATGACTCAGGTCAACAGTCAAGGACTTCATCGACTAGTGCCACATCTTGATCTGGCAACTCTGAACCCCTTTCCAATCTAATCCGACTTCCCCTAGCACCACAGATCGAGGTAGGCAGTGACTCGGCGTGCACAGTACATGTTCAGGTCACCTTAGTTGACTAAGGTTTACAACTTCATAAATTGGCTTGCCTGCCTTGCGTAGTACCCTTCGCCTGACCTCAACATTCCTCACATAGTGTAGTGATTCCACCAAAGACGAGCAATGCAACGGAGACACCTATGATCAAAACTCTGTAACCGCTTTGTCTTCTACTTTCAACAGCGATGTTTCACAGACGTATAACAAGACGGAATGGACTGCAGTGCAGTATACTCGTCCTATAATAGGTAGTGGGATGTCTTGCCAGTTGATCCATCCATCCAAATGAACACAGGATCAGGCATTACTACACAACAGTCCAAGTTGCCACACCCCATATCACCACATCAAGTAAAATGCCAGTGAAGTAAGTGGAAGATGAAGAAAAGAAAATTCAGTCGAAAGAAATATAAAGTAGTAAAGGAGAGAAAGGAAGAATGAGGAAACGGTGAGATTCGGTATATCGTCGTTAACATGAGGATAATGTCTGTGTGTGTGTATGTACATCTGCACCACTGATATCAGTTCTCAGCCATATCATCACTTAGAATCAGTCTCTAACCATTGGTTTCTCTTGTCCCACGGACTCCAACAGCCCCACATGGCTCAAACCAACAGTCAAAGACTTGTCAGTCGAAGCCACAGATGATGCAAGTTGGCAAATCTCAGATGGGTCGACACATTCCACCACTTCACTACCTATCATTAAACTAAGAGCGGTTGCAAACCAGTCCTGGAGCATCACCTTACAGACGCGAAACGCATGTCAGCCAAACATACTCAAATTTCTGCTCAACGCATCCCTCAGCTAAGATTATTATTTTCTTTGCATCTTCACCTTTCTATAACATTTCTATGCTTATACAGCTCAGCGGCGTATCATTTTAACAAACTGCAAATTTCAAATAAACTTTTAAACATAATACATGATCTCAAATACGTGACATCCGACAAAACCTTGCTGAATAAGAGATTATACACTAGGAAAAAAAGGAATTTTAATACCATACTCACTTCTTGATGCTCAAGTTCTAATTTTTGTGTAGCTGAATCGATGGAATCACCTTCCTGTGAAGAAAAATATATAAGATAACATGAATAAGTGTAAAAACAATGACAAACAACTAATGAAAACAGAATCAATAATGATAATAATGGCTTTATTCTAAAAGCTATTTTGAGAATACTGTACAGAATTTTCAGCATGTCATATAGCATCAATTGGATAGAGACAGTGTACATGTATACATAAAATGAAATAAGTAGAAATTACATGAAGAAAAGATAAGAATATCCGCTCTATCTACAACTTTCTTGAAAATGTACATTCAATTTAAGCAGACAATCACATTATCAATTAGATTCATAATACATAAATATTAACATGCTCATCTTCAATTAGTTTGCTTTCAAAAACAGAAGTTGATTGGTTAGTCCATATCTGATACTTTCTTTATCGCTTACCAGACGAGTTAAATACGGTATTGTAGAGATTTTATATTTTGTAGTACATGCGTAAATCTTATGTACTTGCTCATTGTCTTTCCAGATGACGGATGTGCAGAAAGCTTTGAGTGAAGAGGATGCCGGTCACCTGATAAAATAACTTCTGTCAGATGTTTACATGAGTTAATATGTTTGTCCATAACAGTTTTAACTAGAAGGTCTAGATGTATACAACAAGTTCTGCTGACCATTTTCAAAGTTCTACGTAATACAGCAGGATCGTCTATTGTCAGCAACCCGGGGAAAAATAAAGGAGAACAATAGAGGAGAACAGACAAGATGCAGGAGTCAGTAAAACACAAGAGGGGAGGTTGAGTAATACCAGATACTCTTAGCTTCCTAATACAGAAAGCTAGGCGAAGAATTGTCTTGAAAATTAGTAAGATATGGGAGGACCAAGAAAGGTTCCAAGAAAAACACACACCGAGATAAATCACACTTGTAACATTCGCTATGAATAGAACAGGAATCATGAGAACTAACCAGTTTACATAGGTTATGTTCACGTCTAAAACTAAAATTCATAGTTTGACATTTTAAAGAGTTAAGTATAAGACCATTCACGGAAGACCATCGTCTAACAGTGGATAGGAAACCATTCAGTTGGGAACAATCTGTTGAAGAGTAGGTAGGTATGGGAAGTGTTAGATCATCAGGATATTATATGAAATTGATACTAGTTGAAGATGGTAAGTGATGCAGAAAGAAAGGGAAAAGACAGGAGGTGAAGGACGGCTCCTTGTGGAATACTAGTCACAGTAAGCAATGGGGTGGGGTGCTTCCCTCTGTGAACAGTGTGTTGTTCCCTTTCAAAGAAATAGGAATGCAGTCAACTGATTATCCACGACTCAGTATGTGTCCCGGTTAGCTTATCCAGCAATCAGAGACTTTATAGGCCCATGTCACATCCTGGTTTGATCAACGTAAACCTTTTTCCAACCTAACCATATTTTGATTGACATTTCTATAAAATCCTACAGAACCAGATATTGAAAACAAGAACAAATTATGCCTAACCTAACAAACAGAAGCAAATCAATATGTCTTTAACCTTTTTACAGATTCCCCTTTCTTATGTATCGAGAAATACTGGGTGATGATAAAAGATGAAATGAAAATTTAGATCACGAGAGGATTCTAACTAGTGACCATCGCGTTTTCGGCCCGATGCTCTACCAACTCAGCCACCAAGTCCGACTGCTGATCAGATTTTTATTTCACTTTAATCACAAGTTGAGTTTTGCCCGGCTACCATATGAATTCGTGACGCGTTACTATCGCTTGATTGTATTCACACTGGCTGGCCAGTTGGAACTTCTCATCCCAATCGAAACCTAACTGAATTGGAATGAAAGGAGGGGCATCATAGTGATTATCATTCTGACTATCTGAGTGAGATAGTCGTGGTTTGACAGACTAGTATCGATACTTGGTGGTGATTGAAGGTGAAATGGAAATTTAGACCGCGGCTGCATCACGAATTTACTTGGTAATTGGCAGAAACCCAACTTGTGATTGAAGTGAGATAAAAATCTGGTCAGCAGTCGGGACCTCGTACTTCAGTTGGCAGACCATCGGGCCGGAAGCCCGATGATCGCTGATTCGAATCTAACCGCGGTCTAAACTACGGCTATCTCAGACAGTCAAAACGACATTGAAAAGTGTTAACAGTTTGCATAATATATTCCCTAGACAAAAAAACTGTTTTTAGATTACTATTTCCCTAAAATTTATCTTTTCCTCGGGTTGTGTGCATTGTTGATCTTCAGCAAGTACTGCCGGCTTTCTTCACATCTTATGTCTAACTTGCTACGCATAACTACCAAAAAGTAACGTCTAGGCTGGATAAAACCTCAAATTGTCCATACTAAGTTTTAGTATCTTTTGATTAGTATCTTTCAGTAAACAGGCAAGGATGAAACAAAAGCTAGAAAATAACCGAAGCAAACATCGAGAATCATGGTGTTAAGAACTTTAAACTCACCTGAAGAAGTTTAGCAGTTTCTTTTAACTTGCGTTTCCGATTCCTAGTAAACCAAACGTCAAGCTCAACGGAATCCGCTGTTAAACGGTCATTAGATTCAGCAATTTTAAGCTTTTCAGAACAGTCAATTCTTCCAGCTATGACCCATTCGTCAAGCCTACGATCCTCTGAGTTGATTAGAATTAAGCATACAGATAACATACGGTTACAATAATGAACATAATATTCTTTATTGCCATCACCATTTGCCCGACTTTCAATTACAGCGGCAGGATCTATAGGAGTTTGAAGTCAGAATATAATTGCACATTACAGTAGTGACCAGAAGGTCTCATGACTTGATAAACTTCTCCAACTTGTATATCCGTAACAGTTTTGCACACTTCTGGATCCATAGCGTCAATCAAATCACGTTATTCATTTGAAATATCACTGTAAATTAAGTTACACCATACACTAGATGCATAGCGATGAAATGTAGGTCATAAAACATGTTAGTCAACTGTCAAATATACAGGACTCAATCTATATGAAATCAAAACCAAAACGTCAAATTATTGAATAACAGTGAACACGACCACAGTAAACACTACAAATACCAAATCTGACAAAAACCCGCTGATATATATTATATACACCCACCATGGGTGTATATAAGTGCCGTAATTGCCCACTGCTGAGGAGTCCCATACAAAAACAAAACAGTTCCCCTATTGCTCCCAGGTTTTCAATGGTTCTATAAATAATGTCAATCGGTGATGAAGACAACGTGGAGCTGTGGCTCAGTGGTTTAGGAAGATGACTATCAACCAACGAGTTATGGGCTCAAATCCCGTTCCACCTACTGAGGTTTGTGCAGCCAAGTAGTATCACTAGCCTACACACAGTAGGTGTGGCTCAATGCCTACTCTGCGAATGTGCACAAGCTTGCTGGGTGCGCTTCGTTCGTTTCGATGAAGACTACCTTGTTATCTTTTTTGTCTTTCAGGTATCTTGCAGACAGGTAAACGAAATATAGTATGCTGAATTAACACTCTGCTGTTTACTACGGAAATTAGCATCAACTAAGAGTATTCCTCTTTCCCACTATTCTAAGACTCTTTTTCACCAGCAACAAAATGACCAACTGACTGACAAAATCAACATAGAACCTTGCACTCAAGTATATCAGTTCAACCTGGCACACTACAGAAGTACACAACAGTTGGATAGAAAAGGAGTGATATCAAAGTAGACAAAGTTGTGTGAGAGAATAAACAAGCTGAAAATAAAGATTAGTGAGAATATTTACGCTTTAAAAGATTTCAATGAGTGAATAACATCTGCGCCTTTGTGACCAACCGACTTCCAACCATGTCACCAAGAGTTTTCAACCACCTATTTCTTTCACCTCGATGACCCGAACCAGGAAGTCTACATCTCTTCACACAAATTAGACCAGCAGTCAGGGAGTTCGCCGATTGATGCCACGTCTTAGTCTGGCGACCCTGAACCCTTTTCCAACCTCACCTAGCATGGCACATTGAGGTAGGTGGTGGCTCGGGATGCGCCACTAAAAATATTTATACCAACTCATCTGTAATTTTCCACTCTATTCCATCCCATTCATTATCACAATTTGGTTTCAGTTCGGTAGGACAGCCTTTAATGCACATTACACTTTCAGACCTACCAATTTCGTCTGTATCTCGAATAGTGAAACAGTTAATTGTCGTTTAACTCTAAACTTAGACACGACTGTGATGCGATCCGATTTTCAAGTGTTCCATGCAAATATAAAACATATTACTATCGATTACAAGTTTCTGTAGCCTCCCTTTTTAAGGTTCTTATCACACAAATTTCAGGTAGCTTTTATTATTTTGTAATGGACTGATCAAAAGAGGTTTGAAGGAAACTGCCATCCTTAGACTTCTGCAGGTACACTGACATGAAGTTCTGAGTCCTTCATCAACGGTTAGTGACAACTCCCCAACTTCAGCTAAGGTTGAAGTGTCTATTAAAATCTTCTAATCGGACTTTGGTTGGGCACTGTGTAACTGAACAGTAAAATCAAGACAGATGAATGCTACCTCACTGCCCCACCATTTCTTAACCCAACGCAGGCAGTCTATTTCCCAGTCGATAGACAGACAAACATAAAAAGTGATACAGAAGTGCATCCCTTCAAGTTACCACAATATACCTCGGCATGCAAAGAAGTAAATAAGGGTAAATGAACGAGGAAAGAACGAATAAATGAACTTTGGTAAAAATGTTTAGGATCTCAAAAATGAGTGTGTATATAACAGAGACACCCTATTTTGACGTGGCGATCGGGCTTGCATATCATAATGACCCAACGAAATATACTGGTAGAACACTTTTTCTCTCGGTCTTACCACCCAAGAAAGGTCACAGTATGCATTACTATATTGTGATGGGGGTCCGAGGACCAAGTCCTACTGCTGGTTAAATCAGCTGTGACAGCAGTAAGTTGTTTCCCTTGGATGATCACCAGAACCATCCTGATGCTACTTTCCGATTGAATCGGGAAGCTAAAAAAAACCGCCCCAAAAATGGCACTCTACTCCTGCCCTGTGGTTTTCCAGTGAAGACGTGATAAGTTGTTCCTATCCAGCGTAAGAACAACAAAATCGCAAATCAACAATCTTCAAAAGGCTGTGTGATAGGCCTCAAGCACATGTCCCATGGTCTTTGAGGTCACATACAGTCCTTTCTTTTTCAGGTATCTCAAGAAGAACCAGCCTTTTACGCTGTGGGTAGCCTGGAAGTGTCAACCACTAGCATGCTTCCAGTAATACATAAACACAACCCACCCTCCTTACCTCTATCTCCTTTGCCTTCATGTCCTGATACCAGTAGTAAGCCTCTTACAACTTCCTCAACCGTCCACTCTGCAACCATTGCCAACGATCAAGGTCATCGAAACTACATTTCTAGTTTCTTAAGACCCTGCCACCCATTTCATGCTGGAGCCTTCAACATCCGAACTCTATGCCAAACCACACAGCAAGCATGACTCCCTAAAACTAAGGTATTCTTGACTACGGATAACCGTGTCTCTCAGACATGTATGCAGGATCCGAGTGTGGTTATTAAATTGACCGTCCCTAATCACAGTAATGAATGTTCTAAATTCACCTTATGAGTATCCGAAGATCCAGTAGTTAGCTCTCGTGGACTCGGTGATGTAGGCATAGCACTGAGTGCTAAGCCAGAAAGTTCGATTCTCGACTGGATACCAGTGAACAACCACCTGTGCGCCGTTCGACTGAATGGATCCGTAAGGAGCAGGAAGGAAGGTGATACCGACTGATGCCTATTCAAAACGTCCACCTGCACACACAGACCGCAGTTCAGATGGTGCAACGGATGAATTCTATGAAAAGTTGTCAATTTTGCTACAGAAGGAGAAACGTTCAGACAAAGTCATAATAATAGGCCAAATTAATGCTCAAATGGGAAATGCTGAGCCAATCGGAAATGAATCTAGGAGGTGCGTACGAAATCCCATGCCAACGAATTGACAACGGTGGTCATCTGTTTCAATTCCGTTCCAACAACCATTTGTTTCTGGTCAGCACTAAACTCAAGCATAAGTAGAGACACTGTTTCACAAGGCGCCCGCCGACATCAAACCAACGATAGGCACAGATAGATCATACTGCTATACGCCATTACTGGAGAAGATCAGTCGAGGATTGTCACTCTTTCTAGAGTACCAGTTTGGACTCCGACTACCCGTTAGTAGAGGTCTGTGTATATCTATGCTCGATTAGAAGACGAGAACATCGAGTATGTATTTCGGGAAAAGATAGCTAAACATTTACCTGAACATGACAGCAATGCTCATCTTCAGGAAACTTGCCATGATATTAAGTCTGCTGTTGAAATAGCAGTAAGCACAGTTGGTAACCTACACCTAAATGTCACTGAATTTCCGTAACTTAGACGTAAGTTGGCCAAGAGTCTACGCAGAGATAGCGAGTAGAGGTGGGTGGCGAAAGCGAGAGAGAAAGATGAAGAAGGCATCAACGTTGGGTAACGCCCACCAACTATTTAGGCTTATTACGGATAGAGGCAAGAAGACGATGGCTAGTGAAACCACCACCGGAAAGGATGGGACATGAGGCTGGAACACTTTGGAGCACAGTTCAACTGGCCCACAGCAACACTTCAGTTGACCAACACCCAAACTGAATGGGACGTAGATACCGGTCCTCTAAATCTCCTCAAAGTTGAGAAGGCTGTTTCAAACCTGAAAAGACGCAAAGCAGCGGGATCCGACGGTCTAACACCCGAATATATGAGAGATGGAGGTAGGAAGTCACTGAGTAGAGTAACAGAGGTACTAAATAATGTGTGGGAATCAGAAGTAATCCTATCAGGTCGCTCTCCTTCACTCAACATTCCAGTCTACAAGAAAGGACAGAAGTCTTCTTGTGATGACCAGGAAGGAATTAGTTTGACCGACACAGTGCCCAAGATCTATGGGTTCAGAGTTATCCGACGTCTACCTGAGGCTCAAGAACTGTGAACTCGAGAGAACCAGGCAGGTTTCAGACCTAGGAGACGATGCACTAATCAGATCTCTACACTTCATGTTATGAAGTATAGGCATGTCCACCAGCGACGGACACTTGTCATATTTCCATACTGGGAGGCGGCATCCAACTAGGTCGACTGAGAGACGTTGTGAGAGTGTCTGAGTGATAATAGTACCGGGCAAGTATGGAGCGCTTGTCAAAGCTCTTTACTCAAACTAACCCAGCCGTGTTAGGGCTTACGGAGAGTCTTCATCTGAACTGTCGACAACCAGTGGTGTCTATCAGCAATTTCCGCTGTTACCGTCTGTTCAGCTTCGTTACAAATGTAATAATAGACATAACTTTAGATACCTTTGACTTCACAGGAATTCATCTACGCCCTTGAGACAATCTGGTTGACATGGAGTGCACTGACGATGTTGTCCTGCTACGTGAAGACACTGACAAAATACAGTCTTCTGAACGCTTTAAGCATAAACATCAGGACCATTGGTATGTTTTCGCAACTGTCAAACGTAGGATGATGCTTCAGGATTGGCCTGTGACTACTCCTAGCTTAATGATAGGAAGTGAAGTGGTGGAATGCGTCGACCAATTCAATTACCTAAGGAGCTGCATCAGTCGAAACAGGTTGGTTACTGACGAAGTTTCAGCTCGAATACAGAAAACTCATTTGGCATTTGCAGACGCGTCATGTCATGCCGATTGGCGAGATGTCCAACTACTTGTTAAAGGACAAATATCCTGGACCGTTGTACCCTCTGTCTTGTTATACGATTGTGAGAAATGGTCGTTAAAAGGTGTGAAAGGATCACAGGTTTTCGAACACAGACGTCTTCAAAGCA